ATCGTCAATGATCTTACCAACGATAATAGCCTACCGAAACTTGAACCATCTACTCCAACCAATGATATGAAGAAACTGGCTCGGTTGTTACGTGATGATTACCCGATCTATAGTAAGCCTCGACGCAAGCCACCGATCAATAATCGAGCTCCAGACAAGTTTTAAATTATCGTGGATCGGTCAAACAAGATTTTGAGTTACGGATAAAAGTATGATGATGATAAATTTTGGTAGTTATGTAATGAATTATGTTGGTCCTATTTTTGTTGCTATGTATATTCTTGTGTTATGTAATAGAGTAATAGTAGTTTCTAGCTAGTATTGATGAGAGCTCTTTTTGGTTTCTTGGGTTTGTAATATCCTTAGTCGTGACCATGTTTTGAAGTTATTTTCGTACTTTAGGCTTTTCGATACCGAAGTTCTTATAGTCTCAATATACATGATTTTAAAAGAGAGAGGAAATACACACAAAGGGAGTTAGGATTTCCACTAATTGATCATTCAAGTCAATGCAAGAAAAGAATTGGAAGAATAGAAAATCTAAGGATACAAATACTTTTAGGCTGTTAAAATGCATAGTTTGTAAGAAAGCTCGAATAATACTTGTTTTTGAAGGAAAACCAACTTAAACCAAAAGTATACAAGCGCCCACCGTGGGGCTCTACCAACTGAGCTAGACGGGCAAGTTGTTAAACCTTAGGTCGTTTCTTATTAACGTTAATTATGTTTTCCTTTTCAGGAACTACAAATCTGAACTTCATTATTTTATTTATGAATAACATTTTTAGTGTAACATTTGCTTTAGTATGACTTTTACTAAGTTCAAGTTAGAAATCATTGACGATATACGAAACAGTTAAATATATCTTGGAAGTTATTATTTTTCAGAGACTGGATGGGCAGTACTATTGAGTTCCTTTGGAGCTGTCCCACAACCTTCAAGATCAAGATTTAATGGTTCTTGTTTGGTTACTGATGCAGACTTATCCTTGCTTTTTCCCCATAAAAGTATGTAAAGTCCCACGATGATGACCATTGATCCTATCACACTTTTTGTCATGCCACATATGTAGTTCATTTGTTAGAAATTATTAGCAATCAAAGTCAAAAAGAACCATTATCAACCATTAGGAAAAGAAACCCATATAATTAGCTTTCTCTTATCTAATCATTTCTAGACTTATATTTAATCTTGTTTAATTCGATATCTACATGGATCAAACACAGATTAAAGGTCCTTTATGGGTCTCAATGATATTCTATAAAGCTAACTAACACTTTTAAAATTTGTCTATTGCAATGCATGCATCAATTTAGTATTAAGCGTTAAAATTCCAATTACACATTTAAATGCAGATGAAAGGGTCTTTAATATAGGCATATTCTCTAGCTAAAACTAGTCAATAGATATTTAAATATGTATTTTGCAATATTATTGTATATTATGAGACGTTTGATCTAATTTAAAATTGTTTGTTTGTAACGTACGTTGTTCATCAATTGTTTTTTTTTATTTCTTTTAGTTGAAGTTTTTAGATATTTTAAACATATATAAAATGATATAAATAAGTAAAATAAAAAAAAAAAATGGTATAAATAAGTAGAAAGAAACATTAGGTTACCTTCCACAGTAAATTTGCTCATGAAGGAAAGAGAAGCTGAAAATGGCAGCAAAGACTTGAATCAAAGGTATGAAACTGGACGTGAAAACCGCACCTCTTTGCCGGAGACACCACGACATTCCCACGTAGCACAATCCCGATCCAACGATACCCTATACCGGTGGTGGATTTAGAAAATAATTTTATCGGAGAACAAAAGATGGAAAAAAGATATGGACATGAAAAAAGTTGAACTCAAGTTATTGGGGGAGAAAAACAAAAAAAACAAATGTCAAATAGAAACAGAAAGAGTATTTTCATTTTTCGTTTACAACTTGTAAAAACATGATTACTTTCACCAAAAAATAAACTTTTTTATATGTTAACATATAGATTTTAGGTTGATTAAATAGTAATTGGATTACTCACCGAATAAAGTAAAGCTAAAACTTGGAACTTGTCTTTAACGACCCACATAGACATGCTCCTCTCCGAGATCAAACTCAACAAAGCAGATTGGATCACACCAAAGAAAGAGAGGATCGTGGTACTCGTGTATTGGCACCGATAAACTCGGCTTATTTTAGCTTGAACAATGAACCAAGATGACCATATTATGATCGATATAACCAGCATGATCGAACCCATTGCCCACTTTTGCGTCATTGCACCGGTTGAATCAGTTCTTGTATGTGTTTGCATATGAGTACTGTGCTCTCGACTTAAAGCGGTTCCTTTATAAAGAGTAAGCACTAAAGCTCCACAAATACATATCATTGTGCCTAACACTTTGGCTCTTCCTACGTTGCTCTTGATGTTCAGCGTCTCTTGTCTAATCATATAGTTTGAAAATTGTTGTGATAAGAATAGAGCATATGAAGAATCCAAATGTGTTTGATTGATTTTTCATTACCTAAAAACGAGAGCCAAGGCAAAAGTGACCGAAGGAACCATGTTGCTAAACGCTAAGGAAAAAGTAGAAGATGTATACTCTAGCCCAATAAGAAAGAAGTATTGCACCAAACTTGTCCTGCAAAATATATGAACGATCAAGATCAAGATAAACATCTCAAAACTTATTTTTGAACATTTATTATAAACAGTCTATTAAAATGAACATACCCCAGAAGAGCACTAAAGAAGAGTGAACACAAGATCCTACCCGTGAGTTTTGGCCTGTTATGTCTACAAAAAGATACCAAAAAAAAAAAAAGAACAAATTATTTCCCTTACAAAATCTTTCATATGGAATACGAATATATAATGACTTATTCGCAAGAGAAAAGAGTTTGAAAACAACATTCAACTAGAAACTCGAAAAAAACAAGACATCCACTAATCATTTAAAGAGTATATTTAAACCAGCAATTCAAAGATTATATAACTAATCAACAAAATCAAGAAAAGATACGATAACTTAGACTTTCAAAACGAAGAAGATCGACAAGTAACTAGATATACATATACAAACACAAACCGTTCCAAGAAAATCGCGAATGGTATCAAGAACAGAGTTCCTGCAGCAAGTCGGTAAGTGGTCGCGACCATACGGTTAAGTCCTTCATCAATCATCTTCTTGAACATAACGTTTACAACGCTTAAACCAATGTTGATCATGGACATCATAAGCACAGCCTTCCATAGTTTTGTATCAAACTGTACCATGATTTATAATTATAAGTATATCAATATATGTGTGTGTGAGAGTGTATATTTATATATGCATATACTTGTCTTTTTGTTTTTTCAGAAGTTGGTAAGATATAAAGAATTTGATGAGGGTGTGACTATATATTGTGACTCAAGTAATGCTCAGAATCGTATCATTATAGCATTTATCTTTAAGTAATCGTATTGTGCTTTGAACTTGGCTTTTCTTGTTATTGTTGATTACACTATATATGACCGTAAAGATAGAGAGAGAGAGCGTTAGGTAATGGAAGCACTCGTGACTTCCATCATCACAAAGTGACATCATACACAGACATTAATCAGATCAATCTAAAACTACATACATTTATTCAAATTAATAACTTTAGAGCTACATGAACGATTAGATTGGTCAGTCAATATAATAATTAACTTTTAAAACTAATAAGCGTGATCTGTTTTCTTTTTTTCGCTCTCTTAATATGTACCCATATTGGGATACTCGTCAAAAAAGTGAAAGACATACTTTTTATATTATTTAGAGTGGTGTGTTTAGCATATAATGAAAAATGTTTGTATAGGAAATATCAATGATTTCACAAAAAAAAAGAAAAGAAATATCAATGAAATTAGTTGCAGGGTATTGCAATGAAATTCAAGGGAAATTAAGAAAATACCAACGAGTTCAAATAATGTTTTGGTAGATTTTTATAAATACACTAAATTTTATAAGCAATTCAAAAACTACAATTAATCCTATACTATTATTTGGGGAGTACAATTTACAATTACCCTTAATTAACCTTCCCCTTTATATGAATTTACTTAGCAAAGCCATTAGAAATAAAATTTTATAGAGTAAATTAATTCAATTCATTAAGGATAAACAAGTCAAATACTATTTTATGCAATTTAATTATAAAAACGAAAATCTATTATTAATTTATTTAAAAAGAATGACCAATCAAAATGAGCATATAAGATTTGATATCTAACTTACCATATTAATTTGTTATTAATCATTATACTTGACCCTCATCTTTATATGATTCTATTTCTATAAATAAACCAATCATCCTATACTATTATTTGAGGAGTACAATTTACAATTACCCTTAATTAACCTTCTCCTTTATAAGAATTTACTTAGCAATGCCATTAGAAATAAAATTTTATAGAGTAAATTAATTCAATTCATTAAGGATAAACAAGTCAAATACTATTTTATGCAATTTAATTAATTTAATTTAATTATAAAAACAAAAATCTATTATTAATTTATTTAAAAAGAATGACCAATCAAAATGAGCATATAAGATTTGATATCTAACTTACCATGTTAATTTGTTATTAATCATTATACTTGACCCTCATCTTTATATGATTCTATTTCTATAAATAAACAAATCATTATATCATCTATATAATAAAAAAAAGTAAATTTTTCGCATATACCAAGATTTGAATTTTTAAAAACGAATATTGATTATTCAATGTATGAAAGAACAAATTTAACGGGTCAAAAATTTATATTGAGTAATATATTCCTTTTTTTTAATATCATCAATACTTAATAGATCAAAATTTTATGAAGTATAAACACTCTAATTTTTTTTTTGAAACAAATATTTATAATAGGCTGCAGGTTGAATATAATATATTATCTGATGAAATGAGTTATGATCCTTATAACTATTTGAATATTTATATTTAATTTCATATCATTTTTTTCAAATTCATAATTTTACATACTACAATAAAAATTTTTAAAGATTTTAATTTGGAACATTTTAAAAAAGTTTAATTTAATATATTAAAGAATATCATAAATATTTAATAGATTAAAAAGATAAAAAAAATTATAAATACATTAATTTGAATTTCTAAAAAGATATGTTTAAAATATTTATAGTAGGCGGCGAGTTAAATGTAGTGTATTATATGGTTGAAAGTTATGATCCTTATAATAGATGACATTTTAAGATTTTATGATGAGATGAGTTAAATAAGGTTTGACACTTCTACGTTTTAGATGCGATTCATTTATGATATTTTGATTTTTGATCTAACTAAATTATATTCACTCTCATTTTGTGGTTGTTAACATAAATTAACTCTTTGTTCAAAAAATATTAATTTTTTAAACAAATAATCTTATTTTCCGTTTTCATATCTTAAAAAAATATATCCATAATTGAATACTATTGAAAAAAGAAAATATATTCATTCTAATATTATATATAGGGACTGACAAAAAAATATTATTTTTTCACTTACTATTATAATATATCACAACTTTATTCTAAAACATAAAATTTATTAATTTTGTGATAAATAAAATTCAAACCGTACTGTAATACGGGTGATGATCTAGTTAAATTGTAAGTTGAAAAGTGAAAACTACTCTTTTCAAATTGAAACCCTTTATTTATATAAGTATTATTTAATGTATAATGTATATTATTCATGCATAATGTATAAAAAATTTAAATCTTTCATAATTCATAATGTACATACATTATTCATGCATAATGTATAAAAAATATTATTTTTTCACTTACTATTATAATATATCACAACTTTATTCTAAAACATAAAATTTATTAATTTTGTGATAAATAAAATTCAAACCGTACTGTAATACGGGTGATGATCTAGTTAAATTGTAAGTTGAAAAGTGAAAACTACTCTTTTCAAATTGAAACCCTTTATTTATATAAGTATTATTTAAATAAATTATTTTAAAATAATATAAATTTAAAATATTAAATTAAATACGTAATTATTTATTAATAATAACAAATAAGAAAAGTTATTTACTTTTTAGAGTAACCATTATCAAAATATTTTATTTTGTGCTCATTATCAAACTGTAGCACACTAATATCGGATTAAAGTCATTAAACATGTAATAATGGTTTTAGAGAAAATATTTGGATTTTAGTTTAAATTTTAAATGAATAAAAAAATCTCAAATTGATGAGCTAAATTCCAAATGAGTTGAAAGATTTAAGCAACATGTAATATACATTATGAATTGATGAGCTAAATTGAAACCCTTTATTTATATAAGTATTATTCATGCATAATGTATATTAATTTAATATTTATAACAATTTGAATTCAGCAGTTTTTTTTTATTCGTTGAATTTTTATCAATGATAAAGTATTTCTTATTTTTTAATCTTTGTGTTTTTAGCCCGACAATCTTATAAAATAGGACAAAGTAAATATTACTTGGGCGTGTAAAATATTAGTATATTCATTCAATTAAATAGCATGTTAAATTACACCTACCGTGAAAATCGTGAAATAATCTAAAAAATGTCCTTGTTGTTATAAACCATATGGATGGACTTCATAACCAGCCCATGGCCCATTAGGGTTTTACCTTATTCTCTGTATCCTGCTATTGTCCTTGTATATATATCACTTATACTATTAATGAAAGACACAGTTCACAACACGTTATCAGCACGATAGCCTCTTACCCTAAAAATTAAAAAAAAATCCCGAAACCCTAAATCTCTCTCACAAAAACCAAAACCAAAACCCTAGCTGTCTCTGCAAACAAAATTTTAAACTCTATCGAGATAAGTTTTCTGTTCATATTTGTTTCTGCACGAATTTTGCACGGATTATCTGTTATCAATCCTGTCTGTATTTCTGCACGAACTTTGCACATATGATCTGTTATCTATTCTGTCTGTAGTTTTGCACGAATTTTGCACGGATTATATGTTATCAATTTTGTCTGTATTTCTGCACGAATTTTGCACATATTAACTATTGTCAATTCTGTCTGTAGTTTTGCACGAATTTTGCACGGATTATATGTTATCAATTTTATCTGTATTTCTGCACGAATTTTGCACAGATTATCTGTTGTCAATTCTGTCTGTAGATTTGAACAAATTTTGCACGGATTATTTATTATCAATCCTGTCTATATTTTTGTACGATTTATGCACGGATTATATGTTATTGATTCTGAACTGTTTTATGCAGTATATTACAGAAACCCTATTTTTTTTTCTTTTTACTAATGTAATAGCCATGTTTCTATGAGCAAAATTTTGAGTTTCTCAGGAATCAGGATTATATATATTGAGATTTTGTAGGAGGTCCCAACCAGCTAAGAGACATAACTGTTTCCAATCTCCGTATCAGATCTCGGGTCTCTGCTTCAGTTCTCCAATTAAGATAAGTGCTATTTATTTATTATGCTTTATATACATGATCCAATTAAAGTTTGATAAGATAAAATTTGCATGAAAATTGGCACATGTGATTTGATTTATGATTGGAGAATTAATTGAGAAGTTAGTGAATGGAAAGATGTTTAATGGCATGATAGATTGAATGTTTTAATATAAACCCTAGGTTAAACCGAAAGTAAACCGAAACCCTAAATCCTAGGTTAAACCGGTTTAATAAACCCTAAGTCACGGTTTAAGATCAAGCTTCCTATAAATAGAAAGTTTCCAGAAATAGAAAGTTCCATATAAAGAAAGTTTACAGAAATAGAAAGTTTCGTAAAATAGCAAGTTTCCCAAAATAAAAGGTTTCCTAAAATAGCAAGTTTCCCAAAATGGAAAGTTACCAAAATAGGAAACCCCCTCATAAGGAAATATTCCAAAACCCTAAAGTACATAATTGTTTAGGATTTCTTTCTAGATGAGAAATAGAAATTTTCCATAAAAGGAAAGTTCCATATAAGGAAAGTTTCCATAAATAGAAAGTTCCATACATAAAACCGAAATCCTAGCAAAAACCCTAGTACTATAAATCGCGGATGCTAAAACCCTAAAACTTAACCGCGAAATCCTAATATCCTAATCTAGTATGATCCGATTGTTTGGTTGTTGCATACTAGATCAATCTTCTAGGGTTGATTTCATCCATATATATATATATATAACATGATTGTTTAGAAAACACTTGCTGAAGACAAGCATGGCTCGGTCTCAAATACCGCATGACTTGGTCTAACCGATTACATGAGTTCTCATTTAACTCTATATATTATAGATATCAGAAATCAACTATTATGAATACACGGCACTCAATGCCTCTGGTGACAATTATTTAAAATGGGCTTTGGACACTAAGATTGTCCTAAAGGAAAAAGGGCTTGGTGAATCTATTATGGAAGGAAACAATGTCACCAGAAGAGAAAGATATAAGGCGATTACTTACATACGCCATCACCTCAATGAGAGTCTCAAAATCAGTACCTCACTATTAAGAATCCTCTGGACCTCAGGACAGAGTTAAAAAAAAAAAAAAAAAAAAAAAAAAAAAAAAAAAAAAAATCAATATAACCACCAAAGAACGGTGCTATTACCCAAAAGCCCGATTCGATCGGAAGAATCTCA